ACTTTCTCTGGATTGGATTCACTACGCGGGGTTCTTTGTGTGGGTTCAGAGCCATTGAAGCGCCAGCTTCTGTCCTTTCCTACTGTGTGCACTGAAGACGGCACGTTTTCCTGTAGCTTTTGGTACGTGGTGGTGCCTTTCAGTTCAAATGATTTTCCGACTGCAATAGTGACTTATTTGGGGGTTAATTAGAAGCGGGCTTCATAACTCCTAAATACAAGGACTTTCCAGTTACCGTTGTTTACTGAATTCTAGATTAACTGCAATGAGAGCAAGAAATGTTACTGTATATCATTTCAATCCTTATAAGTTGAAACTTGCTTCATAGTACCAATGTGCTTCTCTGCTGCCATCTGGCGTTCAATTTGGGGATAACACAGTGGAGGTCTCCAGGAAAAGTTGTAGGTATAGTGGATCATCTAGGAATGTGGAATCCAAAGTTATTTAAATGTGCATTTCATCACTTTAAAAAATAAAAAAAATTAGTAATCTTCTGTTACTTATTCCTAGATTAACTGCAATAAGTGCCAACAATAAACTTTACACAATTTCATCTTTTTTGAAGATTGTTGAAACTTGCTTTACAGTACAATATAATCGCTGAAAATATGTTCCCAGTGCGCCTCTCTTCTGCCATCTGGTGTTCACGTTGGGAAAACACCCTGGTGCAGATCAGAAGGAAACGTTTGGTATAGTGAGTGGATCATCCCTAAATGTTGAATCCAATTTTGCTGCTCATGTTCAGTTTATTTTTTAAACATTTTATTTACTTATTGTTAGAGAGAGGGGAGGGGAAGGAAAAAGAGAGGGAAACACTGATGTATCGATATGTGTAAGAGATATATCTATCGGTTGCCTCTCATATGCCCCCAATTGAGAATCTGGCCTGCAACCCAGCCATGTGCCCTGACTGGGAATCCAACTGTGACTGTTCAGTTCACAAGCCAGTGCTCAGTCTAGTGATCTACACCAACCAAGGCTCATGTGAAGTTTTTTATATCTCTACAGGATTTGGGGGATTTTTTGGAAACAAGGTTGCAGGTTTGATCCCTGGTCAAGGCACATGCAAGACTCAAGCATGACTGGTGTGGCTCTGTGGTGTGGGCATCTGCCTGCCAACCAAAAAGTCGCCATTTCCATTTCCAGAGCATATGCCTGGATTTGAGGCAGGAAATAGTCAGGAGAAAACTCCAGAGGTGTTCCAAAGCTAAGATAAATGACATTGTTATAGGACAGAGACCCTGTTCTAAAAGCACTGAATTGTGCTGAATCATGAATGCCCCTGTGCAGAAGGTGCTACATGACCCCTGCTCCATTGTAATAAATCAGCCTTGTGGGACCCCCTTCCCTAGTGGTCAATCAAGGAAGATCATGGGAGACCACATGCACAGTAGCTTTAAAGTAATATAATTACTTGTACATGGGCAAAAAAACCCAGCCAAAACTACACAGGAAATATCGCCCTTTAAGAATAGAATCCCTGGGTGTGTGGGCTGGGATGGAAGTAAAAGACCGAAAATTGTACTTGAACAACAATTGAAATAAAAAAAATAAAAGAGTAGAATCCCTCCAGCCCCTGAGATCAATCTCTGTTTGGAGTCAGCCCACTCCCATGTTCTGTGGAGTGTACTATTGCTTAATAAATCTGCTCTCTTTCGGTCTGCTATAAACTGTGTGTTCAGTTCAATTCTTTGTCTGCAATCACCAAGAACCTGATTACCTGTGCCCACCTGTGACAGGTTGTGGGCCTGGTAATCTTGCTTTAAGGACTAACTCCAGTTGGGAGCATGTGAGAGGCAAATGATAGATGTTCCAAATAAAAAAAAATCAATAAATTTAAAAAAATTTTAAAAACATAACACAATTTCCATGTGGATCTGCATGTATTAATGGACCATTCTTTCTCAGCAATCTGTCTATTCATAGGGCATTACTTCACTTTTTTACTTGCTGTTGTTTCATAATATGATATGCCTTTTAATTCTTACTTATTTTAACAGGTGAACTTAAATTGAGCTTGTTTTACTTTAAAATATTTTGCTGAGCCCTGGCCAATGTGGCTCAGTTGGTTGGAGCCTTGTCCTGTTAGGTAGGACAGATAGCAAACCCAGGCAAGGAGGAGGAGGCAGACATGTCTCACCCACTGACTCATCTGTCCTGAGCCTGATCTGATAATAGTGCCAGGTGTTCAGAACATCACAAGAAACACCATGGTAGCACAGGAGGAGGGGATTCTATGTATTATAATTCTATGTATTTTTCCCACTGTCTGGGAAAGAAAGCCTTTGAACTGTGTGTGAATTCCAAGGTCTGGATGGTAGGTGGGAGGGTGTCCACAGTGCCCAAAGAAGCCCATAAGGCAACTTTGGTTACTTGCCTACCTCTGGTCACCATCTGTTTTGCAAAGAAGTACCTAATGTTTACAGAAAGCCCATAAATAATTTGGGTTTACAGAAATCCCATAAATAATTTGCCCCAGCTTCAACTGGCTCCTGTCAGGTGTTTACTTTACAAGAGGAACAAATAAAGTTTGGAGTGAGATAATGATTCAGGCTAACAGACCCCACACATACCTGCATCACTTCCCCCATGGAAGCTGGTACCACCTTTACCCACCAATTGATATATAACTTCTTCACCCCCATCCTGCCAACTACCTAATTCCTCAGGACCAAGGACCTGAGGCTCTTGCCACCCTTACCTTGCCACGCCCAGAATCTACACCTCTCACCCTGACCTGGGCAAAGCCTGTTCTCTTCCATGAGATCATATCACTAGTAAACCCTGCTTGCTCACTAATAGACTGGCTGATCTGTAATTCTTTACTGCATCAGCAAGGAGAACTGAGTTTCCCCATAACAGTTCCATAAACCAAAAGGTTGTAGTTCAAGCTCTAGTCAGGGCACAGGCCTAGTTTGCAGATTTTGTCCCCAGTGGGGAGACAACCCTTTAATGTTTCTCTTTCACATTGATGTTTCTCTCCTTCCCTTCCCTTCTCTCTGAAATCAATAAGCATGTCCTCAGGTGAGGAATAAAAAAATTTTTGCTCAGATTTTAATCTTGACCATGTCAAATTTATAGGTAACTGTGGGAAATGGAGATCATTATCTATTTCTCCAAGAACATGCTGTTACTTTCCTGTTGTTCAAGTGTCCTTTTGAAAAAAAAAAGTTTGTTTACTTTAGAGAGATGGGAAGGGGAAAGAGAGAAGGAGAAAAAAATTTTATTAGTTGCATCTCACACGCCCCCAACTGGGGACTGAACCCTCAACTCAGGTACATGCCCGGATCGGTAATTGAGCCGGTGAACTTTAGATCTGTGGCACGGAGATCATCCTTCCAGGTCATGGGGGGTGGGTATCCCCCTTTGGTGAACCCACTCCAGCAGGAATAGGTGAATCATGCTTAGGTCTCCCTCATGCAGGGGAGGGTATGATGGGGTCCTCACTAAATGTTTGACATCTCTGTGTATTGAACTCAGCTCTGTGTCTAAGAAAAGTGTGACCTTTGGGAGTTGTTAGCATCCTTCCTTATGCTTATGCAGATGTAGCTGCTTACCCTGCTCTCACCTTGAGTCTTGCTGGACTCCTACTCATTGGGTCCAAGGGAATTTTGTGCTCCTGGGCCATTGTGGACATTATCTGGGAATGGGTGGCCAGGAATGACCAACACTGTGCATGTCTATTAGCCCATCAGTCTTCACAAACCAGTTAAAAAATACAGTAATAATTTCGAGATGGTGTCAGTGGTGCATTAAACTCTGTGGGGCCCAGGTACAAAGAGAGTGCATCACAGAAGCTGCTGTGTTTCGGGTTTCATGAATGCCGTATGCAGACTGGGTGCACCTGTCACAAGAGAAACTCAGCTCTTGCCAATGTAGTAAAGGATTACAGATCAGCAAGTGTATTAGCGTGCAAGCAGGGTTTATTAGTTATACATTCTCAGAGAGGACAGGTCTTGCTGAGGTAGGGGTGAAAGGCAAGAGCTTGGGTGGCAAGAGCACCGGGTCCTTTGTCCCCTGGGATGAGGGGGAAGAATTTACATATTGATTGGTGGGTTAAAGTGGTGCCATCTTCCAAGGGGATGGACTACCCAAACGTAGGGTTGTATGGGGGTTGTTAGCCTGAACCCTTATCTTGCTTCAGACCCCACTTGGCCATCTTGTAAAATAGATCCATGACAGGAGACAGTTTAAGTTGAGGCAGTTACCCAAAGTTAACAATGGGCTCTTTCTCTAAACACTAGGGACCCTCTCATAAAACAGATAGTGGATAGAGGCAAGAAATTAACCAAATGTGTTTCATAGGTCCTTTCCTCGAGGCTGTGGACACCCTCCCATCTTCTAGGCCTTGGGATGAATACAATTTGAAAGCCTTCCTTTCCCAGATAGTGGAAACAATACCTAGAATTTCAACACGTTAGCATGGTGCTTCTTGTGATGTTGGAACATCTGGCAATGGAACTGGACCAGGCTCAGGACTGCTGAGGTAGTGGGTGACATATGTCTTCCTCGCCCTCCTTCCCTTTGCTTCCCATCTACCCTAACACACCAGTGCAGGCAGATGCTGTTCCCCCTGTCAGTTCTCAGCAAAGGGTGGGTGAGGGTCTTGTTTCACAGGCCACTCTCGGCACCACTTGCCAATGTTCGGGAGGCTCTGAGGACGCCCAGGCTCAGTGAGAGAGCGGTGATCAGGAGGGAAGCACATCCCCAACCTCACGCTTCCTTCTCGGGGCAGCGGAGTCTATGTGGGGAAAGCAGTGGAGTCTGCTCAAATTCTGAATTTGCCTAAGCACCCCTACCCTGTCCTAATCTTCCTCTGTCCGGCACTAAAGACCAGGAAAACATGGGCACAGAAGGCTGTTCAGTAGGGCTTGCGATCTCAGCAATCTCTTGCCAGATTCTGTCTGTGCTGACTCAACTTTGAATATCAAACTGAAAGGCTGGAGTTCCCATTTCCATTGTACAGACTAAGCAGGAAGACAGAAGTTGAGAATCTTGCCTTAGGTCACAGAGCTGGAAAAAACAGAGCTGACACTCACACCCACTATGGGCTGATGTGGAATCTGTATGCTGTGCACCAGGAAATGCTGACCCTGAAAAGGCAGCAAGGAGTGTGAGGAAGACCAAGTGCCCAGACCGAACGGCTCATGTCCACACACAAGCATCCATCCCTCCCTGCCATTCACCTCTGAGGCTCCAGACGTTGCAGGAAACTAGAAGAGTCAAGACAAGCCAAGGAAGGAGGGGTGGGGTTAGGGTTAGGGTTAGGAGAAAAGGCCCCCTTCCCAGGAGTCTGGGAATTCACTTCCCAGGTGAGTCTGTCTCAAATCCCTCTGGGCAGTAACCAACGTAGACTGACTCCAGATTGACACATTTGCAGGAGGTGAACTTCTGTGGCTGAGAGTATGAGTTCTTTGTGGCTCTTTAGGAACACTCTGCTTTCAGTGATGGGGAAAATGAGGGATGTGTATAGAGACAAAACATTTTAGAATAGGTCAAAAAACCATGAACGAGTTTGGTGCTGACATCCCCATATCACTATGGTACTGTTTGTCCATTTCATATCTTGTCATGAAACTGGAGGGTTTGTTTAACCAGGTACTTCTCTTCTAATTACAATCTTGGGGAGAGTAAGGGGCTGTGGACTTCCTATGGCTACTGATATGTGACTTAATGCTAATGACTCACTCACTCCACCTGCAAACATAGGGCTTCTCCCCAGAGTGTGTCCTCTGGTGTGTGATGAGATGTGACTTCTGTGTGAACCCTCGCCCACACTCCCTGCAGACATAGGGCTTCTCCCCAGAGTGTGTCCTCTGGTGTGTGATGAGACATGACTTGCGTGTAAAGCCTCGCCTGCACTCCATGCAAACATAGGGCTTCTCCCCAGAGTGTGTCATCTGGTGTGCGACGAGAACTGACTTCTGTGTAAAGCCTCGCCCACACTCCCTACAAACATAGGGCTTCTCCCCAGAGTGTGTCCTCTGGTGTGTGATGAGATCTGACTTGCATGTAAAGCCTCGCCCGCACTCCCCGCAAACATAGGGCTTCTCCCCAGAGTGTGTCCTCTGGTGTGCGATAAGATGTGACTGCTGCGTAAAGCCTCGCCCACACTCCCTGCAAACATAGGGCTTCTCCCCTGAGTGTGTCCTTTGGTGTGTAATGAGAACTGACTTCCAGGTAAAGCGTCGCCCGCACTCCCTGCAAACATAGCGCTTCTCCCCTGAGTGTGTGCTCTGGTGTGTGATGAGATTTGACTTGCATGTAAAGCATCGCCCGCACTCCCTGCAAACATAGGGCTTCTCCCCAGAGTGTGTTCTCTGGTGTCTGACGAGATTTGTCTTCTGTGTAAAGCTTCGCCTGCACTGCCTGCAAACATAGGGCTTCTCCCCAGAGTGTGTCCTCTGGTGTTTGATGAGACATGACTTGCCTGTAAAGCCTCGCCTGCACTCCATGCAAACATAGGGCTTCTCCCCAGAGTGTGTCATCTGGTGTGCGACGAGAACTGACTTCTGTGTAAAGCCTCTTCCACACTTCCTGCAGACATAGGGATTCTCCCCAGAGTGTGTCCTCTGGTGTCTCATGAGATTCGACTTGCAGATAAAGCCTTGCCTACACTCCCTGCAGACATAGGGCTTCTCTGCAAAGTGTGTCCCCTGGTGTGTGATGAAACTTGACTTGAATGTAAAGCCTCTCCCACACTCCCTGCAGACATAGGGCTTCTCCCCTGAGTGTGTCCTCTGGCCTCTGATGAAATGTGACCCCTCACTGAAGCCTTGCCAACACCCTCCATGCTCAATCGTTACAATTCTTGACATTCCTACTTTCACAAAGAACTTGCCTGTGTCCTCTGGACTCTCTTTCTGGCCTCTGCGGGGCTCTTCCTCCATCATTCTCTCAAACTTACTAGAGCTTGTCATTCTTTCTTTGGAAGGTTGGAAAAAAGGTCTTGAGATTCTCCTCTGACTGATCCTTTTAAGCAAAGGTTTGGACTTTTCTTTGACCTCTTGACCTTCAGCTTTATCATTCCAGCTGTGCGTACTAGTATGTTGCTGATGCTGATTCTGATCCTCTGCGCAGGGTTCCTCTGCTTGGAGGTGTTGTCTTGCAGATGTTCCTGGGAGAATCTCAGAGGGATGATTGAGTTTCATGTGTCGGCTGAGGAATTTCTGACTGGAGGAGGCCAGAAAGCAGAAGGGACATGGGTGCATCTCTGGCTTTGGTTCTGCTGAAAGAGAAAGTTTTGGTCAGGGCAGATGTTGAGGACAATGCCTGGGCTGTATGATTAGTCTCCTGGAAAGACCTGCCCCCTGAGTCCTTCTTACTGTGGTGATAACACAACCTCTGTCTCCCAGTGTCCACTCGCCATCTATTTTCCTGTTTATTTTTATGCAGTGCATCTTCTTCAGAATCCAGAAAGCCCACATGAGGGGTCTTTTCTAATATTGCCCAGACTAGGGACTTTTGGAGCATGAGAGGCCATTTCACTCCCTGTGTGGATCAAACTGCAGTGACGTTTCTCATCTACATGTATCTTCTAAGTCATGTTAAAGAGGAAAACCACAGGTCCCAACTAGGAATCGCTTCTCTCAGTTTTCCAAAAAGTAAAATGAAATGTCCTTCCTCAAGTACCACACCAAATATTTATATTTTATCTGATTTAGTGTTAGACTATTTCAAACACACTAAGAAGACCCGTTTCAAAATATTTCAACCACACATCTTACATGCCTGACTCCTGTTCTCTCTGGCCAATCCACCATGCTCTCTCACTTGGAGATGAAGTAATATGAGGGGATTCCCCACTAGGGTTTATTTTCTAAAAATTAACAAAACATCATCAGAACAGAGAAGACACCACTCCATAGCTGACCACTACACACTTTCACTGAGGAAAGTCCCCAGTGTCTCAACTCAGGTGGTTGGCACTGCATCTCTGGGCTGCTAAGCATCTGTCTGATCTCCGCTCTTACCCTCTGTGCTGAGACGAGACCCGAGTGACCCTCAGTGAATTCAATGCTGCACCTCTTTTCTTCCCTGCACTAGCTGCTCCCTCTGCCTGGGATCCTCTGCCCGAAGGTATTTTTGTAAATGTTATCTCTTGAGCAGCCCTTCCCAGACCACCTGCCACAGAGCACCTCCCTTCACACTGATCCCCAAACACTTGTCCTGGGTTACTTTCCTCTAAAGCAGTAACCGCTATGTAGTGTTATGCACATGCAAGCTCGTGTGCCTGGGTTTCCTCCTTAACCTGTCAACTCCTCAACAGCAGTGATTCTGATCCTCACATTAACCTGTATTTCCAGGTCCCAGGATGCTGTGCACCACACAGTAGGATCTCTCATGATAATTCACTGAAATGATGAACAAATGTGCCCTGCTTGAATGGTGTGGCTTGGTGGTTTGGGTGTTGTCTGAAAACTGAAAGGTTACAAGTTCAATTCTAGTTGGGCACATGCCAGGGTTGTGGGCCAGTTGGGGGTGTGCCATGGACAACCGGTTAATGTTCCCTTGCACATTGATTTTTCTTTCTCCCTCCTTTCCACTCTCTGTAAAAGTAAATAAAATTTTGTTTAAAAGGATTTGATTTATGTAATTATTTATTTTTAGGGAGGGAGGGAGGGCAGAGAAACATCAATGTGTGGTTGCTTCTCACATGCCCTGTAATGGGGACCTGGACCGAAACCCAGACATATGCCCCAACTGGGAATCAAACTGGCAGTCTTTTGGTTCACAGGCCAGTGCTCAATCCTCTGAGCCAAACCAGCCAGGGCAAAATCTAAAAAAACAATGCCTATAAATAAAAATGTTCTATTTAGAAGTATGGAGGAAAATTAAGAAGAAACAGCTATAAAAGTTTCAGAAAAACTGCTTTGGGGAGAGAACTGGTTAGTGCTTGAAAACTTTTCTTTTTTGCCTCTCAGTCTTTCAGCACTATATGCGGTTGTTTATTTTCTGTACAAATTTTAAAAATTAAAATTATAAAAATTTTGCTTAAGAGTCAAAGGCATATGAATTTCTGAAGCATGTGATTTGAAACTTTACAGACTTTAGAATAGATTTTAGTGGAGACTTCCACCAAGATGGAGGCGTAGGTGTAAACACTATACCTTCTCACACAACCACATTTAAAAACAACAAAATTTTAGCAACAAAAACGCAGCCAAACCACAGAAAATTGAACTATATGGAAGTCTGACAACAACAAACCCTCAGCCAAACCGGTAAGAGGGGCAGAGACAGCAGTAGAGCAGGGTTGGGCAGGAAAGATCCATGGAACCGACCCGGGCTCGCGACCCAGGTGCACCAGCAGCCGCGGGCGGATCTCAGGTGTGGAGTAGCTGGCGGACCCACTGAGGGCTGACCATGGTCACACATTTGCGTGCAGATAAACCAGTGAAGGAGCGAGCGGTGAGACAGATTGTGCAGGCCCCAGTGGCGAGAAGTGGCAGAGGGGACCGCCATTGTCCCTCTGTGACCCCACCCCACATATAGTATCACAAACCAGCGTCATGGTTGGCCACATCCTGGTGACACTTAAGGCTCCACTCCTCATAATTAACGGGGGCGAACAGATTGAAACATGGCTCAAGAACAACCTAGAGCCCCAGAGCCAAATCTAAGCAACCAAGAAATAGCAAAACTTTCAGATGCACAGTTCAAAACACTGGTGATCAGGATGCTCACAATACTGGTTGATTTTATTCAAAAATTAGAGGAACAGGGACTTCCACCAAGATGGACACGTAGGTGGAACCACCTTGCCTCTGTGCACAACCAAATCTAACAACAACTATTTATGACAACAATAAACCCAACCAAGCCACACAGAAAATCGACAATATGGAGTCCAAAGACAACTAAATGCTCAGCTAAACCGGTAAGAGAAGCGAAGCCAGCAGCGGAGCAGGTTGGCAAGAAAAAATCCCCAGGTGGTGCATGGTGCGCAAGCAGCCGAAGGCGCTGATCGCGGGCTAGCTACAGGAGTGCACAGGGAAGAGGTGCGGCGGGCTGTCTGTGGTTGGTCGGTCGGTCGCGCATCTGCGTGCGGATAAACCAGTGAGAAGGGAAGCCTGCGCGGGGCAGCAGGCTCGCACAATTCCGATCGGATAAACAGGCCCGGGGCGAGTGGTGTGACTGGATGGACTGGGCTAGCGGAGAGGACCGCCATTGCTCCCTCTCTGACCACGCCCCCACACTCAGCATCACAAACCAGCGACCTGGGTCGCCCCGTCCTGGTAAACAACTAAGGCTTCGTTCTGCTTACTTAACGGCACAAATAGACAAAAAATGGCTCTAGGACAACTCAGAGCCCCAGAGCTGATAAATCTAAGCGATGAAGAAATAGCCAGTCTTTCAGATGCACAGTTCAAAACACTGGTTATCAGGATCCTTACAGAACTGGTTGATTTTAGTCACAAATTAGAGAAACATATGGAAGCTAAACTAATTGAAATGAATGGTAATACAAAGGAAACCAATAGTAATGGAAAGGAAATTGGGACTCAAATCAAGGGAGTGGACCAGAAGGAAGAAAAAAATGATCAAACAGAAAAGAATGAAGAAATAAGAATTCAGAAAAATGAGGAGAAGCTTAGGAACCTCCAGGACATCTTTAAACGTTCCAACATCCGAATTATAGGGGTACCAGAAGGGGGAAAGGCACAGCCACCAGTGGAAAACTTATTTGAACAAATAATAAAGGAGAATTTCCCCAATCTGGCAAAGGAAATAGACTTCCAGGAAATCCAGGAAGCTCAGAGAGTCTCAAAGAAGTTGGACCCAAGAAGGAACACACCAAGGCACATCATCATTACATTAGCCAAGATTAAAATGAAGGAGAGAATCCTAGAAGCAGCAAGAGATAAGGGGACAGTCACCTACAAAGGAGTTCCCATCAGACTGTCAGTGGATTTCTCAAAAGAGACCTTACAGGCAAGAAGGGGCTGGAAAGAGGTATTCCAAGTCATGAAATCTAAAGACCTACAACCAAGATTGCTCTACCCAGCAAAACTTTCATTTAGAATGGAAGGACAGATAAAGTGCTTCTCAGATAAGGTCAAATTCAAGGAGTTCATCATCACCAAGCCCTTACTATATGAAATGTTGAAGGGACTTACCTAAGAAAAACAAGATAAAAAAGATGAACAGTGAAAGGACAGCAAACTCACAGTTAGTAACAACCACACCTAAAACAAAAGCAAACTAAGAGGACAGCTAGATCAGGAGCAGAACCATAGAAATGAAGATCACATGGAGGGTTAGCAACAGGGGAGTGGGAGGAGGGGAAGGGGGGAGAAGGTACAGAAAATAAGTAGCATAGACAGTAGATGGAAAATAGATGGGGGGAAGGTAAGAATAGTAGGGGAAATACAGAATCTAAAGATTTTGAGACACGTGTTCATGAACTAAAGGGGGAAATGGTGGGGGAGGGGTATGCAGGGTGGAGGGGAATGGAGGGGGGGAATAGAACAAATGTAATGGCATAATCAATAAAAAAGTTAAAAAAAATTAGAGGAACATATGAAGGCTAAACTAATTGAAATGAATGCAAATACACAGGAAACCAATAGTAATGGAAAGAAAACTGGGACTCAAATCAAAAAAGTGGCCCAGAAAGAGAAAAAAAATGACCAAACAGAAAAGGATGAAGAAACAAGAATTCAAAAAAATGAAGGGAGGCTTAGGAACCTTCATGATATCTTTAAACGTTCCAACATCCAAATTATAGGGGTACCAGAAAGGGGAAAGGAACAGCCACCAGTAGAAACCTTATTTGAACAAATAATAAAGGAGAATTTCCCCAATCTGGCAAAGGAAACAGACTTCCAGGAAATCCAGGAAGCTCAGAGAGTCCCAAAGAAGTTGAACCCAAGAAGGAACACAACAAGGCACATTATAATTATATTAGCCAAGATTAAAATGAAGGAGAGAATCCTAGAAGCAGCAAGAGATAAGGGGACAGTCACCTACAAAGGAGTTCCCATCAGATTGTCAGTGGATTTCTCAAAAGAGACCTTACAGGCAAGAAGGGGCTGGAAAGAGGTATTCCAAGTCATGAATTCCAAAGACCTACATCCAAGATTGCTCTACCCATCAAAACTTTCATTTACAATGAAAGGACAGATAAAGTGCTTCTCAGATAAGATCAAATTCAAGGAGTTCATCATCACCAAGCCCTTATTATAGGAAATGTTAAAGGGACTTATCTAAGAAAACAAAGTTAAAGAAACATGAACAGTGAAAGGACAACAAACTCACAGTTATTAACAACCACACCTAAAACAAAAGCAAACTAAAAGGACAGCTAGGTCAGGAGTGGAAACATAGAAATGAAGATCTTATGGAGGGTTAGCAACAGGGGAGTGGGAAGAGGAGAAGGTACAGAGAATAAGTAGCATAGACGGTAGGTAGAAAATAGATGGGGGAGGGAAAAATAGTATAGGAAATACAGAATCTAAAGAACTTGAGACACGCAGTCATAAACTAAAGGGGGGAAATGGTTAGGGAGGGAGTGTGCAGGGTGGAGGGGAATGAGGGGGGGAATAGAACAACTGTAATGGCATAACCAGTAAAATATATATTTTTTTAAAAGAATAGATTTTAGTGTACTTAAGAGTTGGATCATGAATGTTTCTATGGAGAATTCTTTCTTTCTGTTTTGAAGAACAGTGGTACCCACCTCTTCCGGCCATGAGCTCTCTTTTCCACTTGCTGCCCCACTTGCTGCCCAGCTCCTGGCCATACTCGTCCCCGCACCAGACCAACAGCTCACAGCCCGGCCTGATGACCTGGCAGGTTCGGTAGAAAATCTGCCCATGGTATTGAAAGGCCACCAGGTTCTGCTCTTTATCATCCCGGGCACAGTTCACATACCTGGGATTGAGAGAGAGGAAGGAAAAGAAAACCAGTGATGAGTTTGCACTACCTGTTACATCCATGTCCATCTCCTTCCTCACTGATTCTTAATGCCCTCAGGCTCTGGTATTGCCCACTGCCCCTAATGCTTCCAGGGAACCTTCTGTTCAGTGTCTGAGCGTCTGCCAGCATGTCATATGAATTCCTACCTGCAAGTCCTGCTTGCAGTGTTCATCCTACTTAATACCATTTTCTAAAACCCAGTTCTAGACTTAACCTCCACCATGATTGGCTATAATATCCAGTGATATCTGGATTCACCAAACCCTCAATCAAGTAGTCTCACACCACAGAATCTGGTGCTTGATCTAGGGCTCTGCTTCTGAATTAGCTCACTAATTATCCAGTACTTAGCCCATGTGTTTTCTCTTGAGAGGCCTTTCTCTAACCCTGCTACACTTTATGTAGGATACCATTCACTTGCCTGCCCAAGATTACTATAGAAAATTGGAGATCTTTTTGTCTTAGTAAAATAAAACAGAACAATAGTAGTTGTTTCACAGTCTGTTATCCCTGATAAAAGAGAGCCCCTCTGAGGAAAGGGCAAATGACCATTGCTCTGCAGGCCTCAGAGCCTAGCTCTAGTTAGAAGTAACATCTGGATGGTCTGCTGCCCTCATGGGTTTAGGCCACCCTTGGTTTGTGCTATCTTAACACTGTGCACTTCTTGGAAATTATAGTTAAATGTTTCTAAAAGCAATTGTTTTACGTCTGTCTGCAAGAAGTCCTTCATAAGGACATAGGTTGTGTGATCTGTTTAAGTAATATATTCCTTCATCTAAACTGGAATATAGTAAGTGCTGAATTAATGTTCATTTGATAAATTAAAGTGTGAAAAATCCAGTGTCCCTGGTGAATCTAGGCTCTTCAAGGACCTTTCCAGTGCCCAAGTTGTGTCCAGTAGAGAGCTTTATATTTTGAGGACACATGCTATACTTTTTCCCTAAAAGTCCCCTGAAATGAAAGAACACTGTATGGAAAAACAGAGAGAAAGAAGGACTAAGGGAGACCACTGAGGGAGGCATGATGAGTGGGAAAGATATATGGGCTCGTGGTGGATCAGTGTCCCCTCTCACACCCAGTGACCTGTTGACCTCACCTCATCCAGTTGGCCCAGGATCTGTCCTTTCCATCGACATACTCATAGCAGTTTCTCCCTTTGGCGATCTGTGTTTCAGAAAAGCAGTTAAAGACCTTTTACTTTTTTTGGTGAGAAGGTAATAGAACTATTTTACTCCACAGTCATCAAAGCTCGTTCAGCCTTCATGGGGATTCAACTGCCAGCTATGACCACGTGATATTTTTCTTACTCATCGCCTACACATCTGAGTCTACCTGTACAATCACAGCAGGAGCCCCAGAAGGGAGAAGCTGCCCCTTTGTGTCTGCACCACTTTGTTCCCACTTACCTTCTGATCCTTAAACAGGAGCTCTGTGTTCATGTGAAGTCCAGTCAAGACACAGACCTGACCATATTGTTCCCTCCATGTCTAGCATGTAGGAGGTGAGGTCCCTCCAAGCCCCAGAAGGAATGTGGGAAGGCAGAGGACAGTGGAAGAGGTAAATAGTTCTCACCAGCCAGGAGTATCTGCTCTTAGCTGCCTCTTCATCTTCTGTGATGTGTCCTTCATAAGGGCCAAAGTGCAGACCCACTGGCAAATCAGCTGCCTCATTCCACACTCCAAGCCCAGCCTCAGGGATGCAGGATGGCCCGATTCTCAGCCCAGGGGGCAGGGTGAGGGCTGAGCGGTGGGGATGCCCCTTGTCCACTGCACTGTCCTTTATAAATGTAGGGGGTCCATGCACAGCACAGCTGTTGATGAAGAAGTTCTGACACTTCTCACAATCTGGAGGTGAGAATGACAGGGGTTAGGAAAGGTATAGCACATGTTCCTGGACACAAAGACCTTCAGAGGGAGTCCAGAACTGACACCACTGAGACTGAATCCTGTACTTCAGGTCACTAGAGGAAGGGAATGATTTGGGGACCAAAGGACTAGATGGAATTATTGTATCATAACCTGCTTCTTAGTGAGGGTCACTTACAAAGGTAGTCATCATCCTGGGGCTCGGTGACCTCTTGGTAAACACAGTCCTTCCTTTCTCTTAGGCTGTACATCTTCAAGTCAATCTCCTTTCTCCTGAGTTCTGAGTTGGAGAAGAGCAGATGAGCAAGGTTGGTGGGGTCTGGAGTGTTAGTTCCCATTTTGTCAGATAACACACAATCTCCTCCCATCAATTTATTACCTGTCCTTTTGCATACTCTGGTATTTTACTGTTAACTATTGCTTCAGAAGACTAAGACGCCACACTAACATTAGATGACTGACTCAATTTAGTTTCTACATCTTCCCATTACCAGGTTTAACTTGCCAACCTTTAATCATTCATAAAATATTTATTGAGGGACTTCTCCCAAGATAGAGGCATAGGTGGATACACTGTGCTTTCTCACACAACCAAGTTTAGAGACAACAAAATATTAGCAATAGAAAACACAGCCAGAACACAGAAAATTGAACTTTTTGGAAGTCTGATAACAACAAATTCTTCAGCCTGACCAGTAAGAGGAACGAAGCCAGCAGCTGGCAGAGCAAGGTTGAACAAGAAAACTCAAGTCAGACAGACTCAGGTGTACAGATCCCAGGCATGGAGTTGCAATGGGTGGACTGAGTGAGTGACCCAGTGAGGGACCAGAGGACCCAGTGAGGACGCAGAGTGGCGGGTTGACTGGTCGTGCATTCGTGCACAGATAGACCGGCAAGGGAGTGGGCTCTAAGACGGGACCAAGCAGGCCCCAGCAGCGAGAGGCAGCAGAGGGGGCCGCCATTGGCCCAAGATTTCAAAGCCCCAGAGCCCATAAGTCTAAGTGACCAAGAAATAGCAAAACTTACAGATGCACAGTTCAAAACACTGGTGATCAGGATCCTCACAGAACTGGTTGATTTTAGTCACAAATTAGAGGAACACATTAAGGCTAAACTAATTGAAATGAAGGGAATTGCACAAGAAACCAATAGTGATGAAAAGGAAACTGGGACTCAAATCAAGGGAGTGAACCAAAAGGAAGAAAAAAATGGCCAAACAGGAAAATATGAAGAAACAAGAATTTAAAAAAATGAGGAGAGACTTAGGAACCTTCAGGACATTTTCAAATGCTTCAACATCCAAATTATAGGGGTACCAGAAAGGGGAAAGGCACAGCCACCAGTGGAAAACTTATTTGAACAAATAATAAAGGAGAATTTCCCCAATCTGGCAAAGGAAACAGACTACCAGGAAATCCAGGAAGCTCAAAGAGTCCCAAAGAAGTTGAACCCAAGAAGGAACACACCAAGGCACATTATAATTACATTTGCCAAGATTAAAATGAAGGAGAGAATTCTAGAAGCAGCAAGAGATAAGGGGACAGTCACCTACAAAGGAGTTCCCATCAGACTGTCAGTGGATTTCTCAAAAGAGACCTTACAGGCAAGAAGGGGCTGGAAAGAGGTATTCCAAGTCATGAAAACCAAAGATCTACAACCAAGATTGCTCTATCCAGCAAAGCTTTCATTTAGAATGGAAGGACAGATAAAGTGCTTCTCAGATAAGATCAAATTCAAGGAGTTCATCATCACCAAGCCTTTACTATATGAAATGTTAAAGGGGCTTCTCTAATAAAAAGAAGATAAAACATATGAATAGTGAAAGGACAGCAAACTCACAGTTATTAACAACCATACCTAAAACAAAAGCAAACTAAAAGGACAGCCAGATCAGGAGCGGAACCATAGAAATGAAGATCTTATGGAGGGTTAGCAACAGGGGAGTGGGAGGAGGAGAAGGTACAGAAAATAAGTAGCACAGACATTAGGTAGAAAATAGGTGGAGGAGGCAATAATAGTATGGGAAATATAGAATCTAAAGAACTTGAGACACATGGTCATAAACTAAAGGGGGGAATGGTGGGGGCAGGGTGTGCAGGGTGGAGGGGAATAGAACTATAATGGCATAATCAATAAAATAAAAAAATTTTTAAAAATATTTATTGAGTGCACATTATGTGTTAGGCATTGAGTGAAGGCCTGAGCACACAACACCAATAAAGTGTGGTTGCTATTATCATACATGGATTTTTGGACAACTTGCATGTGTCACCTGTTTTAAATTCAATTTAATGTTTTCAAACAATATATGAATAATGTTTCCTTATCTTCAGTTTACACATTAGCATGTAGGAGCTCAGAGAATTTACAGGATTTGCCCAAAGGTCCAGTGGTAACTTCAGTCTCAGCTTAACCCAGCTTAAATCCAGGCCTACCCAAAGTCTGCCCCACATAACTAGGTCATACTTATCAGCCCTTCTGTAGGACTTAGAGGAACTAAAGTTTCCAAAGTATTTTCTCTTATCCGATTTTTGTCTAGTGTGCTTTCCAAAGGCACATATTTGTCCAGTAGGGGACACTGGTTTCTGGGCATGCTCTGAGTCACTTGCAGTCATCAAATTCGCTGTTCCTGACAACTCCTTCAAACTATATTCATTGCTTAATGGCACCCCGGATGTTGCCTTCAATATAAGAGTCACATATGTAATATGTATTTAATTTTCAAGGCCTATCATGTATTTTACATGCATGTCTTTAAAACTTCAACCCTTGGAAATATCTAGGAAATATGAATACTGGAGGGGATAGGGCCAATGTGGGTGATGAATCTAAGATTAGAACCCATGCCTTATGACCCTTTTCTTTCAACTGTCTCTATAAAATTGAGAGTGAAGGATACTGGGAAGAGAGTAATAAATAGTTGGCAGAAACATGTCTACACAAGAAATAAAATTTGCAATATGTTGGAAAAAATATTTGTACATAGATTAGCTGGTTCCCACCAATTGTTTGAATAAGGCTGCAGCAGTAGCTAGTTGTCTTCAGTGTCCATACCTATAACATATTACTTTTTAATGTTATAGTGAACATGCAACTAATATTCAACAAAGTATTCTGTGAATTATGTAATACAACGTGAATGTGCTGCTATCAATTTACCCCTCAGTTCTCTCCATATTTCAGTCCCACAGAAATTACCATCAGCGTTCATTGATCATCTAGTTTAATTGGTAATTGTGAAATCATTCATTCAACAAACATTCAGGTGCCCTCAGGAGCCTTGACCTAGGCCTGTGACCTCTGAGAGGTTTCAAGTATGGAGCAGGCTCTCTAAGAGCTCACAGCGGAGGTAGGTAGGCTGAACAAATTATTCTAAACAGGATGAGAGTGGTCTCATTAGAGCTCAAAGAAGCTGTTACTTCACCCTATAAGAAAGGGCATTTGAAATCACTTCCAGACAGTAAGTTTCTTTTGAAGAGTGTGTAGCCTATATGAAGTCCTTAAGTGATTTTATTATTTTTTGTTCCTCTGTCATGAAACTTGAAGCTCCTCAGGGGTGGGAGATGCTTTCTTCGATTAGAGTGGGAGGCTGCGATCTTGGACATTTTACATTTTTCTCCATCTGGGACCATTCACTGCACCAACTGCCTACACACTGTACACTTTCCTTATTCAGAGGGTGTTAGTGCATCTCTTACTTCACTATAACAGAGAACTTTGGTTGAAACTATCAGTCAGATGAATGATGTAATGACATACGTGTAAGACGATGTAAACTTTAGAAAACGGAACGTTTTATTTTCTAATTAAAAAAAAGATTTTGTTTATTTTTTTTGAGAGAGGGGAAGGGAGTGAGAAAGAGAAACAGTAATGTGAGAGAGAAATACTGATCAATCACTTCTCACACATACCCCAACCAGGAAAATGATTTACAATCCAGGCATGCGCCCTGACCAGGAATCAAACCAGTGATCTTTTGTTTTGCAGGATGACACCCAACTGAGTCATTCTGGCCAGGGAAAAATCTGTGAAAATTTTAATGAGTTTGTAAGTGGTTTAGAGAAGAAATTATGGGTTAGATTGCACTACCACTGATACTGTGATCTTGGACATATAGTCAAACATTCCTATATCTCTGGAAGCTCACTTTCCTCATTGCAAATGGTGACAGTTACAGTACCTGCCTCACCACATGGTTGTAATGTATAAGTGAGTTTATTCACATAGAATTCTTAAATTCTGAAACATTATGAGAATGAAACAAATGGTAGTTACTATTGCTGCTGTAGTTCTTAACTATTATGATGATGATGAGTCCTGGCTGGTATGGCTCAGTGAACTGAGCACTGGCCCGCAGACTAAAAGGTCACCAGTTTCATTCCCAGTCAGGGCACATGCCTGAGTTGTGAGGCAACCTATTCATGTTTCTCTCCCTTTCCTTCTCCCTCCATTCCCCTCTCTCTAAAAAAGTCAATAAATAAAGTTTTTAAAATGTGTTGGACAGTGTGTTGAGAAGACCAGGAAAGGAGGTCAGCAGTTCCTACAATACTGTCTGCATCTTCTCACTCTTACCTGCATTTCTATCCATGAGGAAAATGTTCTTCTCAACAGGATTTGGGAAATACTCACTTTCTGGTGTTTACTGTGTTCCCGTCTGAAGGCCACCCAAGAGGGTTTCACTGAAAGATGAAGAGAAATCTGTGTTTTGGTTGGTAAATGTTTCCAAAATCTGAAGATTCTTATTAAGGATACAGTAATTCATTCAGAATTCTGAATGAGAGTAGTCCAAGAACAATCCAAGGATTATTGGAGAATGTTTTCTGAGGTATCATTAAGGCCTAGGCGTCTATTGTGGTCATCAACTAATTTCATTAGAATGATAAAAAAATAGACAAAGTGTTATCTATGCTTCACCCTATGTTCATAAAGCATCTATTATCATTTATTAAAAATGGCCTCTCCTGACAAAAATGTAATTAAAGGAACTGCACGGAAACTCCATGTCTTCAACATAATCCTTTCTCTGCCCCGTTTTCTTCATTTGAACTGGCCTTGTCTGGGCTAAGGGCAGCACGACCCCCTCACCTCCTTTCTCTGATATCCTTCCCCCTGTGCATATACTGGCCATCCACGCCTTTCCTTAATCATCAGACTCTGGTCAGCATCCACAATCTGATGACCACAGAAACAAAATTCCAGTCAAGTTAAAGATCACATTTTGACTTCAGCTGTATTTCAACCCCAGACCCATGAAAGTGGACTGGCCCTTCCAACAGAAAACTCATGATATTGGACAGAACAGCACCATGGCCGACATCAGGAAATGATACCGTGATCAACCAATTCTGACCATGGCCCTCCCCCCAGCTCCCATAACCACCACGGTTAATACTGTTCACCGTATGTCTCTGTGCAGGTCATCGGGCAGCCAGGTGTGGGGACACTCCTCATTGGCCAGACCTGCCTTCTTATTCACTTGTATGCTCTTACACATTTACTACTTATTAACGTATCTAAAAATATATGACTATATCGCACACTTGACAGTTTATAGGAATAGCCCCTCACTGTACGATACACTGTTGTGCATCTTGCGTGTTTGCTGGACAAGCAAACCCTGCCCGCTGGTTAACTCCTGAGATGCAGCCTGACCTAAACCAGGTCCGTGTCAGGAGGGCAGGTCTGGTTCCTCCTGCCCTCACCTCGCATTGGCGCCCGTTCTTCATCAGAGTCCTCGGGGTCTTCCTCCAGAAGCCTGCGGTGATGACACAGGAAAGCTGGTCGCGGGGCCCTGAGACCTGGAAAGAGACAACATCTTTGTCCCGAAAGCAGAGCTTGGAGGAGGAACAAGCTCCAGGAAGCCCGTGTGACCGGTTCTGATAGGATGGGAGAATCTAAAAGGAGTTGCTGTGAGCGCTGCATGGTCAGCGCCAGCCCTGCCCTGACATAAGCAGCAAATTCCCCCTGATCAATGTCCACGCAAGAGGGAGCTGCAGACGGATGGAGCCGCCTGAGTCGGAGCCAACCCAGCAGCCTGGCGGGTGCCCCATGCCCCTGGGCCCAGCGCATGCGCGCTACCCAGGCTGGGGGAGCTCCTGGAAGTTCCTCTTCAGGTTCGTACACGCCTTTCTCCCTGTTGGCGGGTCGACCCTGGGCCCTGCGGGGGGAGGGGCTGGATAGGGTGGGGCCACGCTGCCTGGGCGCCCTTGTTCCCCCTTGTTCCCGCCCTTCCCTCAATGGCCGCCTCAGCGCGGGCTCGGCAGGACCCTGCCGGAGTGTCTGAAAGGCTCGGTCGGCCGGCTGGGCCAGCCGGGCCAGCCGGTGGTGGCGCCAGGAAACGGGGAAGGACTCGGCGGTGCACCCGGGGATCGGGAGAGGCCCGCAGGAGACGCAGGCGCGGTCCCTGGCAGACCACCGTCTCTCAGGCCGACAGGCTTGGGGTCCCTCAGACTCGATCCTGCGTCTTCCGGGCTGAGGACACTGAGGCCTGGGGGGAGGGTCAGACCCTGCGGCTGCGGAGATTTGGGGCCTCTCATCGAGGGGCTTCAGGGTCCCCACCACTGAGCTGGTTTCCAGGACGACGGCATTCGGGGTTTCTGAGTTTGGGGAGATTCGGTCTTTCCGGGCGAGCTGCAGGTTGGGTGCCCCGAGCCGAGGGGAACTGGGGTTTCCGCGCTGTTTGGGGGTCTAGGCGTTGGGGTTAGATGTGGGTCCTCCGGGTTGGCGGACGCGGGCCCCTCGATGCTGAAGGGGTTTGGGGACCCTTAGGATGAGGGCATCTGGGGTCTCTTAGGCTGGACTTTGAAGGTCTCGGGCTAAGGGCACCACGTGGCAGGGCTCCCCGCTTACCTGTCCCATGCCCACCTCTGCCGAGCGTCCTCCCGAGCTCCTGGGCTTCCGGGTGGGAAGGAAGGAGGGCACTTGGGGCGAGGTTTCTGCCCGGATATCCGTGTGGCCACAATCCACCAATCAGTGCTGCAATCCCCCTGCCCGCCATTGAGTGGTCAGAAGAAGCTGAAAGGGGGGGGGGGCGTGCAGAGCTTCCTGGGTTCCGGCCTGGCCGGCGGAAGTCCCGCCCCATCCCGCGCGGATTGGCTACTTTGAGTCTCACCAGCACCTGTCACACAGCCTGTAGCGAGGACTGTACCTTGGAGTTTCCGTGGCTCTTTTGGCCCCCAGTGACTAGTGAGGGATTCACCCCACAGGAGCTTGGAGCCCCGAGCCAGGGCAGGACCTTAGGGTGAATGTGGCCCTCCTGCCATCTGGCAGTGTCTTTGTTTCACCAGACTGTGGTCAGGATCCCCAACTTTCGTCTAGGCCGGTCCTTGCCCTCTGTTGTCAGACCCACTTTCAGCAAAGGCTGCATAAGCAGTGAGGACACCGTCAAGACTGGATTGCATTCCGGGAAACTGTTAGTAAATTCAGATCACGCAATTCATAGACACAAAATAAGTCCCAGAGGACTCAAACATTTAAACACAACAAATGACGTAATAAGTATACTGGAAAACACACCGAGAATTTCACGTCTCAAAGAGGTGACGTTATGAGTAATATGTGCGTTTAAGTAACTTAGGCCTAAAAACATTTCAGAAATAGGAAGACAAGATAAAACAAACAAAACTAAATAAGTTTAGAAATGCTGGAAAAACATGAGTATTTTGCATAAAAATAACACGTTAAATTTGAAGACGGGGGTTCAACAGAGCAGGGTTTGTTTAGCTGCTACTGTCTTTCACGGGATAAAGTGGAAAGACTGGTTTTGGTCCTTACCTCATTTTGAGCACGTAAATATAACTTGATTTCCATGCACCGGAAATGCACCCACTCACTGTAGTTATTACTGTGAAACTGCATAAAGGGAAACCTCACGAACGTGGAGTTAGGGGTCAATGAGGGTGCTGTCACATAGCATCACCTAGGGTCAATTACAGGAAAGATTGTCTGTGACGGGCCCCAACATATAGATGGTACCATGTGCTGCCCGGAGAAACTGACTCCCCTCTGGCTCCCCTCTCTCTCTCTGGCAAGTCAGCCAGAGAGAAGCCATGGTCACCCTGAACTGAGAATTTTCTGCACTGCACTTTCCTTTGAAATGACCCCTCCCAACTTCCTTCTTTCTCCCTGTAAAATAATGTTCCTCTGGTTTACTTGTGAAGCTTGCCTATGACTTTTGCTACAGCTTGTTTGCCCTAAATTGCATTTTTTTTACTGTTTCTGAATAAACCCCTTATCTGTTGTTAAAATAACAGAGCTTTGTTTTTAAGGTCACCATAATTTGGTAGCCTGTATGTAGATTCAGAGGACTCCTAAAATTTCCGAGGCTGATGAGCAAGCATGTGCAGTGTTCTTGCTCTGAAAGACTCAGGGAAGGGTCCTTTGGTACAGACTCTGTGGTAATCAATTTGAGAAAAGCCATCCAGAAATAACATCCTCACACCCTCTGACCCAGAAATTCCACTTTTCAAAAATTTCCCCTAGTAGCCCTGGCCTGGTAGCTCAGTTGGTTAGAGTGTCCTGCCTATATTCTAAGGTGGTCAGTTCATTCTCCAGTCAGGGCACTTACAAGAAGCAACCAATGAGTGAATACAGAAGTGGACCAACTCTCTCTCTCTGTTTCAAAATAATAAATGAAATTAAAAGAAAAATACTAAAAGTTCTCCCCCAGTTATGATTCCCTGTGTATAAAATGAAGTATGTTTAAATATTTTATCCAACACTTATATAATAACAGCTATAACTTTAAACTTTCCAGTAGAAGAGAATTTGTTAGATTATGTTTTGCTCACACTGTCAAATATTATAAAATGTTGAAATGGTCGCGGTTCGATTCCCAGTCAGGGCACATTCCAGGGTTGCAGGCAGGTTCCCTGCAGGCCAGTTCCCAGCAGGGGACGCATGAAAGGCAACCATACATTGATGTTTCTCTCCCTCTCTCCTTCCCTTTCCCTCTAAAGATAAATAAATAAAATCTAAAAAAAATGTTGAAATGGGTGAGAATATATGGTATTTCATTAAAGAAATAAAACCTACTAAGGTGGTTGTAATGTATTGTAACAGAGTAATTTCTAAATAATGTTATTATGTGACAAAAGTATCCTGCAAAACAAAATGTGTTAAAAAAAAAAACCAACCCAGGCAGAAGACATGTGTTGAAAGGAGACACAGGTACTGGTCACAGGGATCAGGGTCTGGGCAACGTGCAGGGGAAAACTTACTTTTCCTTCATGTCATTTGGAATGCTGTGTCATTTGTTTTCTCCTTTACTTAAAAGAAACCTATCTATAAATAGTTTAGTAGATAAAAGAATGGATGAGAAGTAGCTGTTTATATATGTATGCATTTGAAAATGATTCAACAAAATTTCTGCACACCCTCATTACATCCAGTGGCCCATGCTACCTTCCTTGTGTGAATAGAACCTTGGCCACACAAAGTGTCCAATTTGCATCCCAATCTCTATTGCAGTAGGAACATTTCTGTGGTGGATCTTTGCCCACAGAGCCCCGCCCCCCATCTGCTGTGGATGAGAATAAGTCTACCAAGACATGATCTGCCTGGGGAGGAAAGGTGGCAAATCTCTCAAAGGAGAAGGACCTGGAGCCCTTTCCTGAATGGGCTTTTACTGGGTTCATTTTGCACAGGAATACAGGTAAAGCTCCTTAACCATGTCAGGCAGTAAGGATCAGACAATAGATACCATACAAAGAACTACTAAGGCTTATTCTGAGTCAGGGTCTGTTAGCTAAAGGGCTACAAAAGTTTGGGAAACAAACTCATTCCCTGCTTGGACCCTTATCAGAAAACTGAGAGCATTCTTATCAAAGCAGGTTTCACAGGATTTTATGCATTCTTTCCTAGGCCTGATCACCTGGGGAACCTGCCCTTTCCAGCACAAGGCTGCACCACCCTCTGTCATTGTTTCAGGCTTAAGTCAGGCAGGGGAAGTAAGGCAGCCAAGAGATTAGGAGACTTCTTGCAGACATAATAAGGACTCAGGCTATGTCAAAGCTGAGGGAGGAGGGTTCATCACCCCCTCTTGCTATAGTTCCCCAAGTCCTTCCCTGGGTCCTCACCATGATTGTACTTGTCTTCAGTCATTCCCCACTTTGGAAAATCTTACCCATCATTGGCTAATGAATCAAGCATTGGGGGCCAGGCAGGGTAAAGTAAAAGGAGCAGAAGCAGCACCCTTGCCAGGGAGATAAGGTTTGTCTCCAATAGTGGCTTCTGGTCTGAAGGTTGCTCACTCAGCCTTAGCCTTAGAGAGTTTACTGCCTCTGAAACCAGGCAGGGTGGTTCCCAACACATTTCCACAGTGCAAAATATACTGTGTCACAGAGTTACTGTTTGTTTTAGAGATGAAAACCATTTATTATGAAAATGAATTTTATATTTAAGTATTTGATCCAAAGTCATTTGTAGAAATGCTATTAAGAATATTATAAGCTCTGACTAGTGTAGTTCAGTTTTTGTGTCTGGCATCTGGCAAGTAGGGTTCATTGTCCAGCTCCAACTCTGGAGTCTGGCTGTGGAGTCTTGGTTACAGATCTGGGTCCTGTCTCTGAGGTCTGTGGCCTGGGTTTGAATCTATTTGGCTATGGGTCTCAGATATGGGGTCTCTTTAGGTGTGGCTTTGGGGTCTCTGGGTTTGTGTATGGGGTCCTTGTACATGTCTATAAATTTATACTTGTTGGCTCCAAGTCAATGTCAAGAGGTGTTCC